GACGAGCAGTTCAAGGCATCCTTCGACGCTGTCAAACTTGCATAGACAGAAACGGAGGACATGTTGAAGGCATAGGACTCTAAATTCGTTATTTATGTACAGGGATTTATGTAAATTTTGCTGCATAACAGTTTATCGATTTAATTAAATTTGCATTTTCTTTTGTCTGGAGGTCTTAGCAACAATTTTTAAAAGGCGATAACTCGGCCAGTTTTAGTCGTGTCGATATAAGGACGGTATAATCGCAAACTAAATAAGCTAATCTAGATCTATGTTGCCCTATAAAAATTATATCGTTTACTTTAGTATTTTATACACCAGCCTGTCAAAGTTGGAGTCGAATTTTTTTTACACACACTGTAGAATATACATGGCTTGATAGAAAACACGGATGATGGACCACAGACTACGGACTACGGACTGCGGAACAAGGGTGAATATTGTTAGCCAATCAGTGTGTTTGTTTATATTTTTCGTGCTTGACCAATGAGACTGCGCGAAATTCAAAATATATAAACAAAAGGGGTGGGAAAATAACACCATGTTCTAAGCCCTGCGTGCCATTCGATATTAAACTTTTCATTTCAAAACTAACAAATTGTGACAAAGCGTGACTTTTTCTTCAATTTCCTCGTGGGGATTTTTTAAATTCGATCCACAACGCGAAATGTTTATGTTCGAATAACCGTGTGTCAACTCGCGTAAAATAGCAGACAGCCTAGTAGCCTGTCTTTAAAACGCATATGAAATACTTTGTCAGACTCTATAAATTTTGTACTTTAAACGTATTTCCTTCGAGTACACTGACTACAGTGTAGTTAAGACCCTATTCTGTGGTACAGAGTAATACCTTTCTGCAGTTCTTTCCTGCAGTTCACAACTTGCATCAAGTCTGCAGTTCACAACTTGCATCAAGTCTGTTAACAACTAGCAACAGACTGGATATTATCAAGCCGGAGCAAGCGATGCGAACGCATCCTGATATCGGCTTGATGATCGCAACTTGCATCAAGTCTGCAGCAGGCCTGCAGCAACTTCCGCGTTTCTGGCTGTGTATAATTCCAGCTGCATGTTGGCTATATTATTCTCTGTAAATGTTCAATTATTCAATCGATGCCAGGTTTTACACAGTCATTTGTAGCGAAGGAAAATCGTATGTCGTTTTTGCTGGTTAATTTTTAAAAAAGGTAATGCACTGTTGATCAACGAGACGAAACAGGAAGGTTTAGCCGGTTTATCTAAAGATTCATCAAGAGTTCAAAGGTTAATAAGTATAAATTATATCGAAAGGGCTCTGTTTAGATTACTATAAGATTCTTTAGACGTTTTCATTACGTTTTAGATATACTACTTCAATTTCAATTTAACGGACATATATGCATGATGTTTCTTGTTCATGCTCATTGGGAAATAATATAATTATACTAGAAATTCATGCATGCAACCCCTCGCCATTTCAAGCAAAGAAAATACTATCAAAGAAACTTAGTTTTCTGCATATTTTATTATGCATTAGTTGACCTAGATGTTAAATCATAAAAATTTAAAAGCATTTAAAATTTTCCGTACGTGTACGTGCGTATAAAAATTACGCGGAAGTGGAAAGTATAGCCTTTAAAATGAACAAGTTAAAATTTCATCGAAATCCTCAAGTATTAATTCGCACAGGCGCCGCAAGTTAAAATGAGCTAACCACTTCTAAAGATCATCTGATTAGCCGGAAAATATTATTTCACTGAACATTCAAGACGTTAAAATTAGTTCAAATTAAATCCCCTACTCAAACATCGAATGTTGTTTTTCAAAATACATTTTCGCGGCGATGCATTCGACTCTAAAAGCTCTGAAGTGATTTTTTATCGAAACTCCGAATTTGACTTTCATGAACTCTTTGTTGAAATTAAAGCAATGATGTAAAGAGACTAAAGTCTTTAATAGTCGGTTATGTCTTTGCAAAACGACATGCCATGTTCATACCTATACGAAAAAATGCATCCTTACAGCAAACCCGAAATAAACAAATTAGACACCTACTACATCAAAGATTATAAACTATGAGTTTGTTTTACATGTGCTACAATTTAATATTCAACTTCTACAAGTGACAGGCTAGCTAATAAACCAGTTTTACATAAATTGTAAAATAATTGACACATCGTTAGACATGACTGCCAGTAAAATTAGGAGCAAATTGTGTGATGGTTGGATAGACATATAAAAGAAAAATAGGAAAGGAAATTCAGAATGCACTAAGTGGAAGCACAGGCCTGATGCTGTGATGCAGCGTTCTCACTTTTAAGGAAATTTCCTTAAACTAAGGAAATTTTGATCTTATTTCACCTTTTTAAGGAATTGTTTGAGGAATTTTATTTTTTAATGAATTTCTAAGGAATTCTGAATTTTATCGAAATTATTTACTTTCGTTACAAAAGTCATAAAACTGAACAAAACATGGCAAAAATTAAAAATTGTTACTCCATTCTTACAATGTTTTTTTAACTCTTCTCAACTTCTGTGATCAGTTCGTGAACTTGATTTATATATTGTTTATAACAACGATAATAATAAAACAGCTTTTTACACTAACTAATATAAAACCAAAACAATTTTCCCGCCTTTTTAGTAAACTACACCACTGAACTACACTAGGTCCCAGTCTTCATATCTGGGAACCCGGAGATTTAAGGAAATTTTACTCAATCTGAGGAATTTTTGTCCTTAGTCTAAGGATTTCTAAACAATAGGATGTGAGAGCCCTGCTGTGATGAACAATATTCGCGATGTCGAAGGTTTGTATTTGTATAGATACTTTTTATTGTTATTTTGTGTTGCTATTCATCTTTTCAAGTCAGTATTTGATACAATATTTACGTTTAATACAAACCTAATGTATATTTATGCCATAATCAACGAAAATATTCATCTCGGTGTGTTGTATAGCTTTAGCAGTCACCGTACGAGTATTATATACTATGAATACGTGGTTTGTCATTTTCATGTTTTATTTGTTTGCAATCGTATAAAACTGTTAATTTAGTAGCATTTTTATTTCCGTAGATTGAAAAGGATTTATTCGCACGTCATTCTATAGCAAATGAACCTTTCTTTTTACTAGTGTCGATTTTAGGGCAGCCTCTAGACCTAATATTCTCTGCGGTTGTTGCGGAACGTTTAAATTCCGTGAGAAATTTGAAACACAGCAAGAGCGAATGAAATCTCCGTTTCGTGGTTTCGTCATTGATTCGTCATTTGAAGCCGGTGTTGAGAGGTCTGTGTCTAGTTGCGTGTTTATTGCGTGTTCGTGGTACGCGCGAGAACATCTTGTTATTTTGGAATATATAAGTCAAACTTCACAAAGTCAAAGATTCATTTAGGTTCAACTGCACAAATGAAACCAAACGATGTTGAAATATTACAAAGATCTATATGCTATACAATCGAACATTTACGCAAATATTTATATAGGGTAAAAATGAAAAGTTATTAATGTTTTAACACGCAATTAAAGGTATGTACCGTATGATATGGGGTCTCAAATGCTTTTATTTTCTGCATGCAGTTACAAAAAAACTTTTTTCAACAGCACCTACCTTTATAATGGTAAAATGATTTGCATTACAGTACAAAGTGGCACAGTGTCAGTGCTGAAATTAATTGTTTATTATATGCAAAGATTTACCATAACATCAGTCTTGTCTCCTATATATATCTCCCACTCCCATCACAATATAATTTTTTAAGTTATTAAGTCTTTCCTTCACATAAAAGACAAGTACTTTTGTAACATCTAATGGTTTTCTTTATAATAACACATTCTGTGTATGTATGGCAGTGTGCCAAATCATTTAATAGTTGAATAAATCCTACTCAAAATAAATAAGCCCCCAGCCTCTCATCCCCATTAGGTGGAATGCACCAACAAGAAGGAACAGGAGTACTGTCTGCATCACAATAACAGGATTTCTGTTATTGTGATGAGTCTCAGGCTAAGGTATGTGGCCATGTAATCCCTCTTCTCTCCAGAGGAGTAAATGCAGGGGGCATTAGAGTTATTTTTATTAGTCATTATTTCTGGCATTAAGCAAAAAATTGCCAATATGACTATGCTGGTGTACATTAATTTATCATGGTTACTTGTCTGTAATTAGTATAACAAGAGAAGTCTTGTTCAATGAAAATTGCATATATATATATATATATATATATATATATATATATATATATATATATATATATGTATATGTATATATATATATATATATATATATATATATATATATATATATATATATATATATAGATATATATATATTTACTAATTCTTTCAATCTCAAAATAAAGCCGTCGCTACACGGCGTTTCACGCTAAGCTAAAAAAGCAAAGCGATCATCAGGCGACGATTATGAGTCGCCTGATGATCGCTTTGCTTTTTTAGCTTAGCGTGAAACACCTTGTAGCGACGGCTTTATTTTGAGATTAAAGAATTAGTAAATATTATTTATGCTCTGCTTTTTTTTGGTATTGAGCACTCTTCTTGTCTATTACAAACAAACTAAATTTTGAATATAAATATGTATTTGTGTAATATAAATATATTTTTGAATATAATTATAAATTTTTGCCCTATAAATCACTGCGTAAGTTCATTTAAATAGCAAATGGATCTTTCTAATATAATCCTAAAATTTCCATTCATTAAGATGTTCTCGCGCGTACCACGAACACAATAAACACGCATCTATAGACCCAGATATTTCACAGTAATGTTCATTTTATTACTTTTAAGTCTATATCTATAAACATAAAACGTTGGTGGCCTTTCCGGAAATTTCGTTGCATTGTTATTGTCTAGCAAACCGGAAGTTGCTTCGATTGTAGCCTACTGAATAAGCCTCGTATTTTTACTCCGGCGTGAGCGACAGAAAATTCGCCTGGTTTTGTTTTTTTGTGAGTAGCCGCTGCGCATGCGCGGCTAACCACTATGTCAGAGTCGAAAGTGTCCGCGTAGCATGGAGGGATCTTCGACACTCGTCGGTAATCACTCGGACAGATTGGCGCTGAAGGAAACACTCGAAACATTTCCGACGTTTAGTCAGATTTTATTCGAAGGGCTGCTTTGAGTTTTGGCAAATTTCTGTATAAAAGTCAAGGTAAAATCAACGTTGCATTATTTGTGTCAATATTTGTCATTTCAATCGCTCATTTGTCCACTGCCGAGCAATTTTGATCACAACCGGATTATACGAGTGTACAAATCTTTAATACTGCGTGGCTTGTTTGCAAGTTTCATTGACAATATCTTATCACTGTGGTAATCAGTCCTACAATCAGTCAACATTGAATGCCATCATTCATCATTGATATAAACGTGTATTGCTTCAGTAGTAGTTACCAGGAAGGTATGTCCTAGGACCTAGATTTTCCTCCACATTATTTGAAAGCATGCAATGAATTTGAATGGCACATTATTTGAATGGCACATAAACATTGTGATAGTATGTAATTTGAACATACCATAAGCACAATTCACTGTTCTTTTGACTCTTATACAATTGCTTCTTGAGATATGGCAAGCAAAAACCTTGCCATTGTGCAGGTATTGAAGTTATACCTTGCCATTGTGCAGGTATTGAAATTGAAACCAGCCATTGTGCAGGTATAAATAAAACGGCAGCCATTCTGCTGATATATTCAAACAAAATATTAAGTTTAAGGCTACAAATATGTGCGTCATTATTGAAGTTCATCGCTCCAGGATTGGTTCACACCACAATTTTCTAGACCGTTGAAAGAGTTTCTGCCGTCTGAAAGGCAAGCTTTGGTATCAAATACTATTAATGTTTTATATATTAATGTATTTTGCTTGTCATATCTTAAGAACCAATTGATTAAGAAACGAAAGAACAGTGAATAGTGCTTATGGTGTATTCAAATTATATACCATCACAATGTTTATGTGCTATTATTGCTGAGACTTTCAAATGATGTATCGGTAGAGGAAAATCTAGGTCCTAGGACATACCTTCCTGGTAACTACTACTCAGCAATGCACATTTATATCAATGATGAATGATGGTGTTCAATGTTGACTGATTGTTGTACTGATTAACACAGTGATAAGATATTGTCAATAAAACTTGCAAACATGCAAGCCTCGCAGTCTTATTGGACTTAGGAACTAGTGCTATTATCTCCATGCTGATAAGTTATCTGTAATCAACATTGCAAACCACCTGTACCTTTCTTCTGGATCTATGAAATCACACTATCATCTTAGTTATAATGGTGATAACAGATTGTTATTGTCAATAAACTTTGGCAAACAAGCCTTATAATCTCTGTATTGTTTATGTTCCGAAGCTTTATATTGAAGACTGGCACGTGCACGGCACGCCGGAGTTAACGCCAGAACAGACGTCGTGTTCGAGTTATAAATAAAATTGTATTGTGTTCCATAGCTCAATTTCATGCGAGCAATGCGATTGGTTCCAGGGATTTTTATTCAACGTTTCAAATTTCTAGCGTATATACTGCTAATTTGCCAAATAAGTATCCAGTTGTCGTGAACAAGTCCTTTTCACCTACGAGATATAGTCCAGATGTAATTTTTTTTCTCGGTTAAAATCGGTCATTGTTGACTGCACACATATAAAAACATTCCATCACATCACTCACCTTGACATGTTCTCGACAAACTACTGAATGAAAACCACACATTATGTGCGCATGTCGCGTGAAATGCTGTTAATAAGAAAGAAAAATCGGCGAAAGACAATGTAAACCTGTAACCGCTAAAGATGGCCATAACATACTTCTAAAACATGGTATTTTTACCCTATAAATCATTGCGTAAGTTCGATTGAGAAGCAAACAGATCCAATATAATCCATATTCATTAAACGGTAGAAGCAAAATTAAAATTTGCGTATTCATAAGTTGGCTACCAGTATATTTGAAACATATTTAAGTGGGTGAACATTTTGGTGTTGCATTGAATTACGTTTCTATGTTGTTAGTTGCTCAACGCTCCATTGTTCTCCGGAAAAACTGTCGACATTAAATTTATTTATGTTGACGCGCAGGATTTAATATATTCCGCACCGTATAAGTTAAAGCAAAACAAATTATGCGGACATAATTTTATTCATAATTTTCATGTACAAAAGTCAAAATGTTTTCCAGACACAGCATGTATATAATAAACTTTAAACAACTGTCCATGCACGGCTCTTTTAAAAACCATCGATGACAATTCTATGTTTTTGCAGGGAACAGTTTTCACAAAATTAAAGCTGGCAAAATCGCACATGATCGATCAACTTCCTTTCTTTTCCAGGTCGCAAAGCATCGATCGCCGAGCAGAAAATCCATCACCGTGCACTTGAATATGTTTTTTTTTTAACCTCATGCCAACGAAGAAAGAATAAGCTTTGAATAATGCATGCTTTCGGCTTTTGACTATTGTTTATTTTACTTTAAAAGAATCTAAGCATGGATTTAACTAGAATAATAAGTGAATGTCAGACAATTGCCGAATTGTCGACTCTGCTGGAAAGCTCGTCATTTAATGAATTTGAACGGCAATTTTTTCTCAAAAGGGAATACGAGATAGAGAGCCGTTTAGAAAAATGGAAAAAAGAAAATCAACAATTTGGTTTATGGGCAAACATTACGAATTCCTGGACACCAGAACAGAGACAGCAGCTTTTGTCTGATTGGAATAATGATAGGGGCTTATCGCATAATGAGGTTGGAGATTTATAGTAATAATTATATACAATTTCTCCCTGTCTGACAAATCCTAGTCGATTCTAGCTCTACAACTTTTTATACACGATCTGTGCTATGTCGACACGATATATGATATACTTCCAGTGATTTATGACTGCAAACATATCGATAAACAACACTGCATGATACAGATACGAATGAGCGATTAAAGAGAAAATATGCGTATTCAATAAGCCCCGTTTACACTACAGTCAATTTATTGGCACGGCGAGCACAGATGAAATGGGCACGGGTACCCATTTTAGCCGTGCCGTGCCATTAAATCGAATGTGGTGTAAACGGGGGTATAAGCTATATACCAGGGCGCTGCCTATACCAAGTGTTTTAGACGGGTAGATGTCTATTCTGTTTACTCCGTATATGCTGAGATGCATGCAGTTTATTTGCATGTATAAATTATGATTTTGCAAATACGTACATAACCGATTACAAAAAGCTATCACATGCAGGGCCGTAACTAGAACGATAATTGGGGGGGGGGGTGTTTATGTGTTTATTCATATATTCAGTTCTGCCCGACGGATTTCCATTGTGAGCTATTATTGCACTTACTTACACCCCCCCCCCCCCAATTATCGTTCTACAGGGTGTCCCAAAAAAACCGAAAACTATTGAAATCACTCATTGTTAAAATTTGAATGCCGTGTTCACGAATTTCAGCCCGTGGGGATTTAATGCAAGTTATAAAATGCTAAATGCTTTGTGTTGCTAGAGAAAGGGGACATGTCGAAGGTTATGGTCCTTTAGATGCACATTTAAATATTGTTATCCATATTTGTAAATTCTAAATATTGTTAATAAATATCATTTTTGCGAACAAGCAAATTTTACTGCATCATATGCATGCGTAAAAATGAGTATGGTAAACATTTATACACCTGTGTGTCCCAACAGAGTGCTTAGGCATTCAAACTCTAACAATTGCATTGTTATGGGTGATTTCAGTAGTTTTCTTTTTTTTGGGGGACACCCTGTAGTTACGGCCCTGATCACATGCACCACTTGAAAAGGGTTAAAGTCTAGTGCAAAGTGCATGCAAATATTTTCCGCATACAAAAATTCGAAGCATAACATTTTGATGTCTATTCCTTAAAGCTTTAGTTCTGTTTTCATGTTTTCAAGGTTAAATTTCTAGCTATAACTTATAAGCTGTATATAAGAGTCCATTAATATTTGCTTGCCTAATGCAGATGAAAAACGGGCAATGTTTACTTTACTTTTAAGACTATACATATATTCGTTTTCGAATGATAAAAATATTAGCTGTCGTCTGTCGGCTCATTGGAGTCATTCATCACCATAATGTAAGCTACTACACCTACTTGGCTTAAAATGACGAGGGTTGCTGCATGCATGTATTTCTAGCAGTATAATTTCTCGTGCAGTAACGGATAATTACGCGCCAAAGCATGAGTTTCTTTAAAAGTGTGAATTTTGCAGTTTATATTTAAAAAATCACTCGTGCACGCATCGGTAGTTGCACTGGAAACTATACTATTTTGTGTATAAATTAATAGTTTTTTTAACTAAATATTCCAGCTAGAAATAAGGAAGTCAATTGAACATCGCCAAAAAATTGAAGAGTTAGAGGCACTGGAGTCAGGAAAATTAGAAAAGGTAGAAGTGTAATGTTATTATTATGCTAAGTATGTTAGTACATGAATTAGTTTCCAGGCTTATTTGGGGTAATCAATTTAATTTAATTTAATCAAATTAAATAAATCATATTAATCCAATAAAATTAATTTATTCCTCGATTTTTCTTACAGAGAAAGTTTATTTTGCTTTTGCATTTTCGAATTGACTCGCGCTCTGGGTAATTTATAATTTATAAGAATAGAATAAAATTTTATTACCTGCGAGAAATATGAACTCCGTATTCAATCACAAATATTTCAATCTTCTTACAAGGTTATGGTTTCCCACGGAATTTAATTGTCAAAGATCGTAGAGAAAATGATTGGCATTTTACTCTACTCTCATGTAATTTAGAACAAATGATATTAAAAATTCATCCATAGTTGTTTTAAACAATAAAGGTTTAACTTGCAATTGTCGCGCTTTTAAATCTTTCAAAGAAGCAACCTAGAAGAAAGCAATGCTCGAACAATGCTAAAACAAAAGCTAACAGTGCCTATTATGCTAATGGTCAGTAATGAGAGACATGCGCCTGCTTTGTACAGCGGATTCTCTGTGAAAATTGGCATGCTAATAATCCACGAGCCGGCGCCGTGCGAGGGTACTAATTTTCGCCCGGAGATTAGGAATTACACCCGGGACCCGGGAGAACATAGCGGAATCCAAAGTTGCCAAAATGTCATGGACGTTCAATGGTCATGGTAGTTGTGCGCATGCGCGAAATTTGAATGAAGAAAGAACGGTCGTCTACGACTTGCTGATTGGCTAAGACAAAAAGAGAGCATGCATGATAGCGTCAGCATTTTAACCGTCATTTTTCAAATATTTTTAAATAAAATATGGAGTCAATTTAAAGATCATCACAGAACAGAAACAGTTGGTGAAATAGGAACGACTCGTAGTTTATAATCTTTGAAGTGGTAGGTGACTATATTTTGCTTATTCAGTGTTTGCTGTAAGAATGCATTGTTTTTTTGACAAGTACGAGCTTAGTATGTCGTTTTACAAGGAGCTAACCGACCGTTTTAGGCTTTACATCATCGCTTAAACTTTAAAGTGCCTATGTCATGTTTGGGAAAATAGACTTTTTAGATAGTTTAGACGATTTTAAGAACTTTTGCAATATATTTGATAAGTCGAAAATTTCATCTTCATCGACTTTGAGGGCCTCAAAGTTGGTGATTTTGACTAAAACCGTGACCTTAAAAGGACTAGGGCGAGAACGCTTGTGAGACGGGTTGTGACGTCATTTCGGGAAGTCGCATTTTTGTAAAGCCGTAAAACACTGTATTTTATATCTTGCGCGAGCGAAGATAAACTTTGAATTGTACTTTTTCAATTTTACTGAGGCGTTTCGTTTAATTTGTGGATGCGACAATGTCGTGAAGCTTTACTTATCTGATCAGCGGCGAGGTGAATCAGAAAATAACGCCAATTAAGCCATTCATTGGCATTTCTACGATCGAACAATCTTGAAGTTGACTCTTCTCTGTCTGAGTCAGAGACTCTGAGGCTCTGACTCACTCAGTGCTCTGACTGCAGATGAAAGTGTCCATACCCGAATGATATTTAGAAAATGTGTTGCCAACTATTACAAAGAAAGTCGGAACATGAAGATAAATTGCAAATACTTAATATTCAGTCGGAGGCTGGTTCGAAAGATGTGTAGCAGGAAAGATGGTGAGTAGAATTGTTTTTGTAATATACGCCATAATATTAACGTTTGCTATTTGAATCGGATGTTTATTTTACGGTAATGGTGAAGTACAAAAATTTATAAGAGTAGACCAGCGTTTTTCAAAGTAAAACGACAAACTAAGCATTTGGGGCATACACATGAATTCTCATGTAATTATGGTGTGCTGAACAGTGCTCTACTAGAAGGTACCTATAAATTTTATCACCATGCAAGCCATGCAGTTAGCCGATTCGAAAGTCAAAGAGACAAGAGCTGTTGAAAAAGTGTTTATATAGCATTCCTTGGTACCATTAATATGTGTATAAGAAATATCTTCAATGATCTCAACTAGTTCATAATGCATTCTATCATTTTACTTTGTAGCTATCTAGACTTGTACATATTGCATATTGACAATCGATGGAACTTGTTCAATTATGGCCACTTGGAGAAAAGAAGAATGTCATGACCGCCATGCTATATGCAGTAAATTTAATGAAAAGGACTTTCACAGAGATGACCATCTTTAAGGATTTATTTTATACTTCTTTTCATTTACATATTCTATGGTTATATGTCAACTCAGTCAGAACTCAGAAGAGGTTGCTTATTTAGGAATTTGACTCATTGCTGCCTTTTATAATATTTAAGCTTTGTTGTAACACTTTTGCAAATTTCATTATGAATTAAAATTTGAATAGCTTGTAAAACAAATTGTGTGTGTAGCTTGCAACAAAATGTTGTCTATATTGCAGTGAACTAGTTTTTTTTTGCATTAAAACACAATATCATGCATATATCCAAGAAATATATAATTTTGAAATAATAAATGTAGCTATAAACAAGGCACTTCAATGAAATTTTGAGGGTAGTTTCAAAGATTTATTCAAAAAGTATGCTCATTTAGGAGGGTTATAATACCTTTATTTTGACCATTTGACATAGCAATACATAATTACTGTTTGATAGGTTTATGTTTTAAAGATTTTGTGTGTTGTTAAACCACCAATAAAATATTAACATATATACATTATTCAATAACTGATTATTTTTTCCTGCAAAGACAGTTCAGAACATTCCAATGACCTTTTATGGGTTTGTCACAAGTCTGCAACATGGTTTTGCTTGTTTTTAATGTGGATGTGTGGATCGAGTTTCCCAAGTTGAAGGCGTTGAATCAAATTAATAGGTCTCAATCTGTTCTTGTGATTTGGTCATACTTCCAGAATCTGTTAGTGTACAAACATATACATATCAAATTACTATTTCTTGGAGAAATAAAAAATATACAGGGTGTATCAAAAAAAAGTAGACAATTTTGAAATGTTTAGAAAACTATAAATTTATCAAAATATCTCATAGATTTGTGCTAGTATGGGTACTTTGGCATCTTCAGGTTATTCTAACACTAAAAACAAACAGAAAAATTAACCTCGAAAAATGGAAGAGCGGTTTGTGGAAGCATCATTTTGAATGGCTTGTGCAAACATGAATGAGAGGTTTAAAATTCAATTTGAATTCAAGGGCTGAACGTTTGGGTATTTCTTTACAAAGAATCGAAATCTCAAAAATTTTGATGAAATTAAGTCAGCCGCGCAACTGCGTAAACGTGGGCTTTTTTCCGTTTAACTCGCAGCTTGAGTAACTTTTTTCACAACACCATTGTTAGTTTAATCACCCGAGCAATCACTCATGCATGAAATCATTCGTGCATGAAAAAAGTTACTCAAGCTGCGAGTTAAACGGAAAAAAGCCCACGTTTACGCAGTTGCGCGACTGACTTAATTTTCATCAAAATTTCTGAAATTTTGATTCTTTGTAAACAATTACCCAAACGTTCAGCCCTTGAATTCAAATTGGATTTTAAACTTCTCATTCATGTTTGCACACGCCATTTAAAATGATGCTTCCACAAACCGCTCTTCCATTTTTCGAGGTTAATTTTTCTGTTTGTTTTTAGTGTTAGAATGACCTGAAGATGGTAAAGTACCCATACTAGCATAAATCTATTGATAAATTTATAGTTTTCTTAACATTTCAAAATTGTCTACTTTTTTTTTATACACCCTGTATATATTGAAAGTACTTGGTTTAATAAACAGTGTGATACATTTCTCATGTTCTCTATTGTTGCATTACGCACGATATCGATGAATCAAAACAAGTGAACAGAGCATTGATGAAACTTTGCGACGGTGATATCTTGCAGACAATGTCCTGCTAGTTTTGTTATAATAATTTGACGGGCGCACAGATATACTTATTGTGTCTTACTTCAAGCAATAAGCCACAAGTCCCACGACGGATAATCTGTTTTACATCAAAACTTTCGTTGATACCAATATAACTGCTCACGATCTCTTCTTCCTTAATTAAGATGTTCTGATCGAACTCCTCAAAGGTCAAACGCCTCTTATTTACCACGTTACCGTAAAATGTGAAACCGAGCTTTCCTTCGTCTTTTGCCTCGGGCGGTGTACCATATAAAATTCTATGTACGGTAGCGCAATTCTTTCGCGTAAATCGGCGGTGTTGGAACTACAAAGCTGTGTTACATCCTTGCACCATTATTAATAAATGTCGAACACATAAAGGCCTAACTTTACACAAAATCTTTGCTTATCCGCGATATAATAATTTAACACTCTTTATTTTTTATAATATAGCTTATTGTTATTTTCGCAACTTCCCGATTTGACGTCACACATGACATTAGTTACCAGTTTTTTCAGGGTCACGGAAAATCATAAAAAATGTCAAAATCACCAACTTTGAGGCCCTCAAAGTCGATGAAGATGAGATTTTCGACTTATCAAATATATTGCAAAAGTTCTTGAAATCGTCTAAACTATCTAAGAAGTCTATTTCCCCAAACATGACATAGGCACTTTAAAAAGAGTTCTCAAAAGTGTACTTCAGAGTTTTGATAAAACAAATATCACTTTGCAGCTTATATAGTCGCTAAAATCATTGAATTAAATAAATAATCGAAAAACAACATTCGACGTTTAGTGCTTGTATGGTTATTATAATTATTTGTGCTGTTTTGATGTTTTGAAGGTTTAGCTATAGAAAAGTTTAACACTGACTTAAACTGCAACGTAATGAAGCAGGCAATCAGGTGATTTCTGTTCACCTTTACGACTGTCTTTGTTTTCGAAACATTTGCACGAGTTATTTCATAATAGCGTAGAAAGTTAGGTCTGGGTAGCGCACGAATTATTTTGCTTCGTTTAAAATGGCGAGGGGTTGCTGCATGCATGTATTTCTAGTTATAGGCCATACTATTAGCAAAATGCAATAAGAACAGAGATATAAAATCCTTAATTGATCGTCACTCGCCCTATAATTATAACCCATACATTTGAATAGCTTGGTTGCTAAGCAGCCTAAGCTTCTTATGGATACCGAAGTGGCGTAAAATGCTTCAAGCCCAACGTGCACGTTTCTGGGCTGAGGCCTTAAGTCATGAACACATTTGGTTTAGGTTTATTAATATATCAGTTTGACTCGGTAAACGTCTTCTATTGAAACGCATAATGAAACTAGTTATTGTGAGCCGGACCCCAGCTACAGAAGCTTAATTGCATGGAGAGAGGAGTGTATATTCATATATTCGTCTTATGCCCGACGGATTTCTTTTGTACGCTGTTGTTCCTCGATATGTAAACATCAATGTATGAATATACCGCATACCCCCTCCCGGATTAATGAAATATTAAAAGTTAGAAAGATTTATATTTTCTTGGGAAATGGTGTATCACTGGATTCATTAACAAGTCTCAGTCTGTAGTTGCATTCGAGAAATGACAGTAAATGCCACAGCGTTGACTAAGATCGCCAAAATTTGGATCATTTTAAAAACACATCCCATATACTTTATTATCGTTCGTCGGCCGTATTTTTTTAGCCAATCGCAGGTATGCGCAGTTCAAATATCCCATATTTCTGGCCATGCTAACTACAATCATTGACAAATTTCGCTGTAACATTCAACAAAAATGCTTGTAATTTACATGAAATAACTTTACCGACAGTACTGTCGATCAAATAACCCCTCTTCCCCCAAATCAATGTTGAATTGTTATGTTAAAGCCTTAGCGCATGTTGCCCGCGATATATTCTAGCATTTTCATCCAGGCAACATTGACTTAGGGGGTAAGGGGGGTATGGATAAATTTTGTGGCGTAACGCGCGGCTCGTCACAACATTTTTGTCAATGATTGTAGACTGAGTATCTTTAGCGACATGTTAAGCCTGAAATCTACCAGACCTTGACTCACCATACCAGCTCTTATTAAAACTGCTACTTATACAGGCAGCAGGTTTATCTATGAAATTATGCAATTTAAAAATTGTTGTTTGGAAATTTCCGTAGGGTTTGGGACCAATAAAGAGGTTTTCTGCGCGAAAATCCTTTACTCTTGGATCTGGCTCTTCGGGGACGTTTGTCTATGTCGGGATTTTGCAAGACGGCAGTGAAGTAGCTATAAAGCGAATGTTGATACAAGCCTGTGAAGACACAGCTGAAAATGAAAGAAAAATCCTCTCACTCATTAACACAAAGAAATCACCATTTATAGTGAGCTATCGCCATTTTCTAATGGACAATACATTTATGTACCTCATTCTTGATCTCTGTGAAAAGACACTGGATAAGTACGTTTGTTCTCTTTCCACTGATCATTTGCAAAGGCATGGGCGAAAAATGATCAAAGATATCTTTGCTGGACTTGCATTTCTTCACGGAGAAGGAATATTGCATAGAGATCTAAAACCAAAAAATGTCTTGGTTGACGTTGGAGGTTGTATGAAATTAGCAGATTTTGGAATAAGCCGCGTACTTAATCAAGAAGAAACTACGTTTCATACTGATGCGAAAGGAACATCAGGCTGGATGCCTGCTGAAGTAATTAAGCATTTAAATGAGCAATTAAAATATCCAAGCAAAGGTCGGTATAAAAGAAAATCTGATGTGCAGGTGGCTGGTATGCTTTCATTCTTCATATTAAGCAAAGGCGAGCATCCATTTGGTGCAACTGTCTACGAACAAATGGGAAATATTGTGAACGGTAATCCCGTTAATTTACGCATGCTTGCTGAAGGTGATGCTCGACGCTTTGTGTCATGGTTGATCCAACACAACCTTGATGCCAGACCAAATGCTGATGACGCTTTGAAGCACGACTTTCTTGACGATGAAGAATTTATATAACTATGATCATATGATTATTACATTTTCCCAGATATAATTGAATAAAACTTTGAATAAAGATGGAATAATTGGCGAAGACAGTTCATCATAAGTTAAATAATCAATCTGCATTAATAACTGCGGTCATTTGGGGATAACTTTCGTTGGCATATGAGAACGACACGCGTACTGTAAGGGTATCAATCAGCACCTTTTGCAAGATTAAATCCCTCCCTATGGCTATGCTCATTTAGCTTTATCAAATTAAAAACGTTGCAAAAAAATCCTCCCGCAGGAATCGAACCTGTACGCCTCTGCATGGATTTCAGGGTAGTACTGTTCCCACCGCACTAAGCTGCGAATAAAGTTTCTTGAAATTGAAAATGTTGTTCGGGTAATGTGGGCAGTTTTAGGGATATCATTTCACAGGTTTTTGGGTTTTTGCACTCCTTTCGTGATATTACCATATCTAAAGTACCATATCCAAAGTCATTAACAGCCTTCCTGAAGAAGTGTTTGTAAACGATTGCAATCATACAGGACTACATATTTAGGCGCTTTTCTTTGATCGGCCAAAATCGTCAAACCACGGTTATAATATTGAGTTGAAACAGAGTATTTCGTTGAAATAATTGGGGTGCATGAAACTGCATTTGCCGTGCTAGGCAGATGTAAATAAAATAACAATATACTTGAATGCATCGTTTTTGAAACACCGTATTACTGTAATACAAGAAATCTGTCAATAATCATACAGACACGCGAGTTCCACTCCTATACGTCGCCATATCAAGTTTTAAAGTGCCTATATCACTCGTGGGATCTTCATGCATTTGAAAAGAACGTAAAAAGTTAGTTCATATATTAGAAAACGTTTTTTGATTTAGTGCAATAATTTTGAAAATACTAGCCTTTAAACTACCTGCCGTTCCTGAGTCCCAGGGTCCTGTAAACAATGGGCAGTTTCAAATTGAATAGCCGTGTTTAAACCCAGGAGGTTGGGACTCAGGAACCGCAGGTAGTTTAGAGGCTTGTATCTTCGAAATTATTGCACTAAATCAAAAAACTTTTTTAATATAATAACTAACTTTTTACGTTCTTTTCAAATGCATAAAAATCCCACGAGTGATATAGGCACTTTAAGAGCCCATGCGTGGAAGTCTGGTTCGGTACCTAAGCAGCACTCATGATCCGGCATGTTTTAGTTTCTCGCTTTAATTTATTCATTTGTCTACCCTTGCATGAGATCGGTCACGCTACAATCAACGATGAATTTAATCCACTGCGCGCAATGAAATATTCGTCAGCTTTAGGGGTCGCGCAGTGCTCCCAGTATGCATTATTTTCCTGAAACTTTGACAGTTTATTAAAAAGCTTTCCTACTTTTAAACAGCTAAATAATATCTCAATTTCAGCTTCACATTTTCGCGCGCAAGCCCTCCCAATATCAGTGGAAAGGAACCACCCCGCGGCAACATAATTTGTTAATGAAAAACCAAACTTGGCCTAAGTATACCAGATAAGTTTTAACTCTCTCTAGGAACACAAGATTTTGCCAAATTCTGCACAAAATATCCTGAAAAACAGAAATTTTACATTTGGGAAATATTTTTATACACCCTGTATAGAGTTCACTGTTCACAACATAATGCGTTTTATTAAGATTAATAACATTATGTTTGACTTGCTACGTGTCACCGGCTGTAGTACGTTTGCATAATGAAAGCACAGCGCAGAGTATGAAACATGGGTTTTTCCTGCAGCACATATGTACAGTACCAAAGATAAAAACACGCTACCTTTGGAATGTTTAACTTTAACACCAATTCATCGTATTTGCTTTTAAGCGCTATATACTTGTTCCCAGTCTTCCGTTTTTCTTTTAGTAAATACGCACAACCGACACAACCAACACAACCGTCTGTCCCAGTCGAAACGTTGTTTGTCTAAAGCAAGAAGCCAAACACAAAAATGTAGACACAATGGGATCACTGTCAATGGGTGTTTGGTGCCCGCAAACGTTACACCGAAACATTTATTTATTTAAACTTTATACGGACTTTGTTCGGAGAGGCGTTTTTTGCCAGTTGTTTTCCAATATTTTCAATTGCGTGTTCAAATGGGACTTTGTGTCAAGGTTCATGCGGCTCTTCGCCTTGGGCGGTCAGACTTACAGACGACGCTTCTTTTACAACCTTTGCAATGTGATAAATATTTGCATATAAAGCGGCATAATTATAATCGTATGTATGTATTCAAATAGCTGACATAAGAAAATTGCACTGTGTTTAAGAAACAGCAACCATAAAAATGATTATTCACGACTAACAATTAACGATACGTACGAACTTATCATTCTCCTAGCTCTTGCAGACGAAGGTTTGACTTCCGTTGTTACTTCGTGACACTTAGGGGCTGCCATGCACAACGCCATTTTCATCGGTGGCTAACCGCTATACCTCACCAGAGAAACCAGAAAACATTTGTGTGAAATCTTTCTTGTAAAATTTGGAGTCACATACAATTTTCCCTCTTCAACAGCACGAAATCAATCCTCTGCTTTCGTCTTTTTTTTTGGTTCTGGCCTTTCGTCACCAGGAAACGGTATAAAATGAAGAAAAATTCCTTTTCCGGATTAGAGGTATTAGAGCAACCCCCAACAATCCATCTATTGGGCATATTTATATTTCCGTGCATTTTTTGCGCCGCCATCTTTCTTCTTTTTGTAATATGAATGAGTCAAACCAGTTGCTATTGTGACGTCACATCAATGATTTTGTACCAATCCCTTTTGCGCGGCTTTTTTTGTGTTTTAAGTGGCAATAACTGCTAAAGTAAAGACGAAATTGCAATTCAGTTTTCGAAAAGCGTATAAAATTATACTGCTAACAAAGATTCAAAAATGTGAAATTCATGTGCCAAAACACTCTAGCATCAACATACATAACGCAACTTACCAAACAGTTTAGTGACCCCTCGGCATCTAGGGGTGTTTTCGTTGATTTTTTCGATTTAACAAAATCCTGTCCTGGAGTTCGCTTTGACTACACAAGTGGTTAAGCAAATTAATTGCACATTTGCTGGCTCTTTTGGTTGAGCTTTCATATTCATTAAATTAACCTCATTCTGCCACTATAATATATAAAATACAATATTATAAAGAATATTACAACATGCTGATACTGAAGACTAAATGAACAATACTGGTTTCTACTTATCACTTCTGATTCAACAGTGATCAATTAAGATCAGTCAACGTAGAAAGCCTGAGAATTGATACCCGCTATGCAAATCTAAGGTTATTAATAATTAATATTCATTTCTTTAGAAATTCATTCTTTTTTCCTTTCAATGACCACCAAAATATTAGCATAGCAGGAATGGATCGTCAGGCTGGCTATGCTACTGTGTATTATAATGATACTTTGCTTGTTTTGTTAAAGGCAAAAAAGTTATTGAAACTGTAGTTGCTGTACACTCAATTTAACTTACCATTGCTGCGTTTTCAGTCTCCTTTTTAGCTGTAGTTGGACTTATTAATGACTTCTTAGGCAATTTGTCATCCTATTATATATATTTATCAAAACATCAATGATTTATAAAGCAAATACAGGTCTTGCCTGAAATTTGAAATTATAGAAAATGCATGTGCATGGCATGTATAAATGTTGCGGTAATATTCATATATTGCATGCATGGATACCTGTAAAACTAAAGTGGTTTTTACAGCAGTTAACTTTTTTACTGCATCTTTCAAATTATCAATTGCCTTGGAGATTTTCTTCACATCGTTTTCCAGTCAATCCAAGCGCTCATTTGTTGCTTTATCATTCGATTTTAACTGATATTCACTCTAAAATTGTCGAAAAAAAGAATTCTTTGAATATTTTAAAACATTGATGAAAATGTGGGATATCATATATATGCGAGTTAAACTTCAGTAAAGCTACCTTCGTTAGCATCTCGGACAGACGGTTTAATTTTTCGTATTCTTTGCTCAGGGCATCATCGTCGAAGTCGAAATCCAAATGCGACTTTGGATTTTTTGTCCTTATCTTCACCTCAGAAATCGCTCGCTTCGGAGTCGGAGTCTTGATAAGGATGAACATCTTGTGGACTGAGGCTTCGCTTTCTCTCAGTTTTGTTTCCAGATGGGTCTATCAAGTCATGTAAAAAAACGTGAAAACGTGGGCATCTCTCGGAAACATACAGCAGTTTTTGAAATGAACGAAGAATTTGTGAATGCCTATATTACACCTGTTATTAACATTAACTGTTCATAGTTGCAAGCACGAGCATGTTTGTAAATATTTCAAGAGTTTACAATAATTTGTCCCGTATGTGAAGTATGTGTTCTTTGTGGACTCATAATCATGGTAAAGTCTTGGCGAAATTATTGTGGAATCTTGGAAAAATCACTGTAAAACCTAGCTGGGCAAATTACATTGACAAAATCACAACGAAATCTTACGAAAATCACTGTGAAATCTTGCACGATCTGAAATAAATCTTGGCGAGTTATTAGTAACATCTTGACATGATCTCGGTAAAATCTTGGCAACATCTCAGTAAAATCTTGGCAAGATCACAGTACAATCTTGACAAGGTCACAGCGAAATCTTGCGAAGATCACAAAGAAATCGTGGCAAGATCTCAGTAAAATCTTTGCAAGTTATCAGTAAAATCTTGACATGATCTCAGTAAAATCTTGGCAAGATCACAGTACAATCTTGACAAAATCATAGCAGAATCTTGGCAAGTTGCAGTTGATCGTCCCATGAATCTTGTAAAATCATGGTAATAAAATATTGGCTACATAAAAGTGAAATCTTGGCAAGATCAAGTTGAAATCGTGGTACGATAATGGTAAAATCTTGGCAGGATCATGATAAAATCTTGGCAAGATCATGATAAAATCTTGGCAAAATCATGATAACATGATTAACATCTTGACAAGATCATGATAAAATTTTAGCAGGACCATTGCAAAAATCATTTTAGTCAACACCAATCTGCGGGAAAGCAATAGCTTAATAACATGAGAAAACTGATGCTCATTTTGAACAAATTTCATGTTAATGTAATAAGCAAACATTGAACTTAGTATCTTGGCAAGATCTTAGCAAGATCTTGGCAAGTAGATTTAAGAATTTTCAAGATCTTCAAGCATGGCAAGATCCTAAATACCTTGCCAAGATCCTGTCATTTGCAAGATCTTAGCAGGATCTTGAAAAGATTTTCAACCTGGGATCAGCCTTTTCATTACAGCAAAGTGATGCTATTTATGGGTGAGGCGAGTACATATGTGTATGTTGAAGCGATAACACTGAGCGTTAACAGTTAATCTATTATTAAAGCCTTTCGTCTCTTTCGCAAGAGCGCGTGGAGAGTTGCCACTTTTACAACCTTGCTTGTTTTAAATACAATTTTTCAATCGGTATTCCCATTGAATGTTGTACTTAAATACTATCCTTACCCGAATTTCGGGAAACAAATCTATATCCCATGAGGTACCCTGAGGTACATTCATTATCCTGTTACATACACAGGCCAGACACAGGCTAAGACAGGTGAGGTAACAACCTCAGACCGCCAACACGCCGGTACCGGAACTCCGAATGCAAGAATCTTTGTTTCAGAGCTTGTTCTAATTCCAAGAACTTGTAACAATTTCCTGTGAATTCAGCGATAGCAAATTCGCTAATCGCCTATATTCAATGAAAATCAATATTATATCCTTCCCAACGGCTAAACCATTCTATGATTATGAAGTCAACAATTCATAGGGCCCAACTAATAATATCAAGAAAATCTGAAAAGGTGAGTACATTAATTTTTATAATAACAGATAAAACATTTAACTGATTCTTTATTTCTGCTCAGATGTAAAAAGCGAAAGGTATAATTGCGTTATTTGTATTTGCAAACAAAACGTGTATTCCCATATATGATATTTTGATAATAATACATTAACCGTCTTGAGACATTGTATGTGCTTTGGCATAATGCAATTCAATTAACTTTATCTTACCGCTTGATGAGTAAGGGCGTTTTAGTAGAATATCTTTACTCTAATCCGTGCAGTCATTATTAATATTATACATTTCAGTCGACCAAACACTAATATTTATACACTATCTTTCCTGTTACTAATTTCCTATATTGCAAAACTGAATTCTATCTCAAAATCAGCAGTCAACTTGCCTTTATATAGCAAGAATTAACTCAATCAAGCCCACATCCAGTGATTATGGTGAAGTGCTCTACTGAACTTAACTATTGTAAACCAACATATTATTTACAGGTCTATATTGTGGGGACTAGGAATAGATACACAAGCTATGTTCATAACCATTATTTTTTGTACAAAATTTTTCAAGTACTTTGGGGGGCTAAGCCCAGTTTCACATTTACTTCTAAGGGAGTATATAGCTCCTTGTTCCATTCCCTGGCTTGGCCAAAACAGTGAGGAATAACATTTGTTTAGTAACTTTATTTTGTTTAGTAAAACTTTATAATATTGTATTCATGTTCCATGCATGTTGTAATCACAGAGTGTTAATTAATGCAATAATTCATTAAAAAGAATTCATTTTATATTTTAAGAGAATACAAAATGAATGAAGATAAATCTATTTTTCTCATTTTCTTTTAAAGCATATACATGTTTTATTGGTATATATGCTTCTTGCAAAGAAATATATATTATGTACAAATGAGTTATATGTATTATATATTGCATGTTGACCGGACGTGGATAAGTTTGTAGAACGTAGACCAACGTAATACTATATACGTTGTTATTTCAAGCCTGCGGAGAAGGGGGCTATACCAACCTATTTTTCCATCGATCAAAAAGTAAGGGAGGTTTAAAGAGTGTCAGTAACTGCAACTTTTCCTGGCAATAATTACAGATATAGTCCTGTTGGTTAAAATAAGTAATTATACATTAGTTGTGTTAGTCTTTGTTAATAATTTTCATTAAAAGTTCTCTCAAAAAATAGGAGAGAGTGTTTTATAAGGCACTTGCCCCCCCCCCCCCAAATTTCAAGAATCAAGACATTGGGGCAAAGTTTAGCTGAAAATTCAGGCAAACCGAAAACGAGTTACATAACTAAAAATTTCAAAACCAAATTTTGTAATATATATCACATATGTGTATTCTATTAGACCATTTTTGTTACACTTTCTTTTAAACACATCCAGCACTTTGCTAATCTGCACACAAGTTGTCTATCTATAGATTTCACCTCCTACTCTCTAACACGGGGATATGGTTATGGCTGCATGAGTGGACTGCATATGCAATAAACTTACATGTATGTATGTAGTCTAAACACAGCGGATTAAACACACAGTGTATGTATGTAGTCTAAACACATGCAACTCATGCAATTTATCATGAAAGTTGTGTAGCTATTTCCGTTCATGTTTTTACAGCTATTATGGTCATAATTTATGGAGCCTTTTATGGAACCAGAATAACTAATTCTCTGAAGCAATTAATACATACAGAAACTTTATAAAACCTGCATCTTGGGCCTTGGCTGCCTGTTTTATAAAATTGATAGCTAATGACCCTATTATTAATATACCACCACATGTGACATAGATGCAAATATGAGTGAAAATATGCACATTTACAATTTTCTCTATTTGAACAATGTTTAGGCTATATATAGGAATATTACTAACAAATTTAATTTAAGGGGGGTTTTGTTTATGTTCTACTCATTACAATGAATACTTGTTTCAAACTAAAAGTGTATCAAATATTCTGAAATTTCTTGATATTTTAGGAATTATATGCATTTTTTAAATGTAGACAAAGTGTTTGTTTGAAATTGAAATTACACACGAAAATAAATGAATCGATGTGTTGAGTACCTTAAATTTGCATATTAGTTAATGCATGTTTTGAAATGGTTTTTAATAGTTCAAACTTGGCTACTTTTAATGAACACAAGCTAGCATTGCTTGTGACCTTAAACTAAAATACAAGAGTGGACTGTATGTTAACTGTTTACATGTATGATCCCACATAGACAGTGTGATAAACAAAGTGTGAAATGATTTTGAGGTATATGATGTAAGCATAGTACATGATCCTGGCTATCATGTAGTCATCCTAACAATAGCATGAGTTTGTTTGCAATTGGTCTTAAAACAGAAGGGCCATTTCTACATCTTACGTATACATCATATATAATACACAGTATTTGGTAGATAATAGATATACTAGGGGGGTTGTTGGCCACAACGAAATCAAAGATCCATAGTGATCACTTAATTGCTTAAAAAAGGTATTGTCAACCCCATACTTCCTTAAAATTGTGAAACCATAGCTGTTCGATTTGGCAATGCAGATAGCAACAACATGTGATGTACGTTTGCTTGCCTCTTCAGGCTTCAAAGCTTCGAGAAGACGAGAACCATGTTATGTTGAGGCTCTTTGCCTATGGTGTACACTAACCTCCAATCAAATTAACCACGTTTTGTGTGTGATTATCGCCCAGATGTGTTGAATTCCAGCTACAACGAAAATGTCTCTATATACAAACACAATTATAGGCAGCATCGTGATGAAATTGTCCTATTAAATTTTCTTCTAAATTGTTGACCACCAAACTTGGCGTTTATTTCACGTGGTTGCAGCCCTTATCACATTACAAAATGATTAGGCCCCGGGTCGTCGAGTGGTCGAGCCATGGCAGAACAGACTATACAGATTAACCCAGATGTCTGCCTCACTTTGTGTCTGACTTTTTGCTCTGTGATTATATGAATGCCTCTAGTCACCGGCTATAAGCTATACTCAGCAAGCGATGCATGGGACGAATCGCTTACGCTTCTTAGTCAGAAGTGAGGCATTTTAGTATTACTCTGAGACCATAGACTATTCCTTACCTTCGTTACGTTAGCGCATTCCACATCCCGCATGTGTGGCGCTTAAGCCAGGCGCATACGACGCGATTTTTGTCGTACGATTTTAGTGAGCGATTTTAAACGGCAAATATCGAATTGTTTTGACAATTCCAATTGCAGGAAAACTGACTAAAATCGCTGAACGCACACGCAAGGATTTGGTCCCCCGACTAAAATCGGACGACAAAAATCGCATCATGTGCGCCTTGCTTCGTCAATGTGCTGCAACAAGCATTTTACGTTTTAGTTGATTAATTGCGATTTTTTGCACTTAAGAACGATAATTATTTTTCAATTTTTATTGATCCCGACAGTTTCTCGCAACTTCTCCTCCTCTTGACAAAAGTTATTCCTCCTCCTGGACTGTGAAAACGAATGAACATGTACATAACATTTCAAATTAAACTTTTTTTAGAAATTCATTGTTGTACAGCGATCGATGAAGCTGTGCATATAAAGGATTCCATGTCTTTCTCCGAGGCATTTGGCACATGTACTGGGTGCTGTGGTGAATACGAATGTTCATTTTGTCCAGGAGAGAAATTTCCTAATTCATTTGCACTGATCAAGCATCTGAGAAAGGATATAAGGCATAAAGAACATCGCAATAGCCTGAACTGTTTTCGTTGTGCTTTATGCAATGAGGATTTCATAGGCGAGTTTGATTACATCCATCACCTCAAACACAAGTGGATTCACAGATATGACCTTCACCAAGCTGCGTGTTGCGGAAGGTTCCAAGAAGTCGGTCAGCTAATTTTCACTGAAGACGCAAATGTTACCGGGGCATCGCATCAGGTCAATCCTTCTTCACAGTTGGGTTTTACACCAATGCACTGTGCAGCATTCAGGGGATATTCGAGGTAAAAACCAAACCCGTGTCTCATAATGCATGTGGACTTCAGGCCAGTTGTTCAGAAGCCGCTTAGATTAACCCTGGGCAGGGCCGGATTAACCATATGGCAGAAGCGGCATATGCCACGGCCCCGCGGTTTTGG